TAGAAAGTCATATTTTCTTTCATTAAAACTTGTGCAGTATAGGGAACTCCATAGATTCTCTTAATTTGAAGAATGTTAGAGGGAAAGGTACTAATTCAGAGTTCCTTGGGAAAATGTGTCACTTATATATATTTTTATGTTTAGTTTTTTAAAATCAAAAACTGAAATATTTTCTATTCAGAAAATATATTTGGATCTAAATAGCTTCTATAATTTTAACCCTAAAATATCAATTTAAATATTTTAAAAATGGTTGGGATGTTTGTTTTTATAAATAAGTTAAGTTACTGGAGCTCTACGTGTTACTGGATCACCTGGGGTAATTTTCTGATTGGAAAATTAAGAATTATAGTCAGAAGGGAGAACACGAGAATTTTTAAAGAACATATTCAATTTACTTTAGAAGCCGAACCTCTCTTATCATCCTTAACTTTGATGTAAGGGATTGTTTCAGTTGCCAACTGTTTTCTTCCTTGTTAAGAGAGTTGTTGTGAACTCTTCAGTGATGCCCTCCCCAGGATATTTGCAGCTGTGGTTGGGAAAAGTCATTTCATCCCCGACCTCTGCATGTCAGGTGCTGGGGTGCCCAGGTGCCTCCTCGCCTGCAGCCGGGCTCTCCGATCGTGATCCTGATCCCGATCGCAGATCACAGGCCACAGGCACGGCAGCACCCAGCGCCCAGGGTGCCGCTGTGCCTTCAGCCCTGGCTCTCCCTTTGCGATCACCAGCTGGGTGCGGGCAAAGGCAGCCGCGGTTCACCTGGCTCTTGCCTGCCACCTGGTTTTCTGATCACCGTTCTTCCCTCCTTCCCTTTTCGCCTCCCATCATTGCGCTTATGTATGCAAATTAACCGCCATCTTTCTTGGCAGTTATCGCCCTGATTAGCCAATGGGAAGCGTAGCGAAGGTATGGTCAATTACCCTTTTTGTCTTTTACTAGATAGGATGTTACATTTACTTGATTATATAGCATTTTTGTTCCCTGTAGGGGAAGTAAGTGGCTAGAAAACATAAGTAAAGTATTTCTTCCTTGTTCCCTTTTATATCTTTTAAATTTTGTACCATGTGGTAGTATACACTTTTAAAACAAAAATTAAAATATATTCTCTCTCTTTTTTTTTTGTTACAATTGTCAATGGCATATGTTTTCTCATTTCTTCCTGTGTTAGCTGATAGTGCCAGGATAGATAGAAGCTACATATTTTTATTTTGGATATATTTGTTATGCAATCACTTATTCAAGTGTTTTGTTGGGTGTGTGTTTTTCTGAGGGAGAATTTTCCAAGTATATCATCATATTATCAGAAAGAAAATTACATCTATTTTTTAGTATTTATGCCAATTATTTTATTTTAGTGTATTATTATACTAGAAATTATAAAACAATAAGTAGTAACAGTGATGGTAGATATCCCAACTTGTTCCCGATTTTAATGGGAATGGCTTTAACATTTCACTATTTGAAATGATATTTGTTGTTCGTTATGGTGAATAGTTTAATAAAATTCAGATAGTTTTATTTTTCTAGCAGCTTTTTTATGGGTAGAAATGGTTGCTGAATTTTTTAATTTCCATTGCTTTGATCATATTGATTTTCCCCTTTAAAGAAATTCCCCCACATATGTTCTAATTTTATTATAGCTATTAGAAAAGTACGGTTGTAGATGTTAGCATCAAGCGTGCCTATCTTCAGAATCCAGCAATGAGCCCGCTCATCTGTGGACCCTGCCAGCTGACCTGTCCCTATCCCACTAGCTATCCGGCCTGTGGACCCTGTCA